TTGGCAGCTATCTCTGAATTGGTACCGTAAAATATCAAAGTGTTCTATACTAAGGAAAAGTATGTTCTCTACATTTACTAAAAATATATATTTTTCAATTTCATGGATTCTTAATATAATTGCATTGTGAAAATTCTTTTTTTGTTTTAACGTAAATTAAGAAGAATTGTGAATTATTTCATTATAAGCAAGTTTAATTAATTTTTTTTCGGTCCAACAAGAACAATTTATCTAAAATGCAGGTTATCTTCAATTCCAAAGACGGTTAACAAAATGGTAGGTTTCAAATTAAACCCAACTTTTCAAATTTGGCGCCGCTTACTTTAATTTTCTGAAAACCGCGAAACTAAGTACATTTGAAATGAAGCGAGGGGCGGGGGGGACCGCCCCCTATAAAAATGCCAAGCCACCCACCCTCCATTTAGAACCCCTATGCGTCAGTTAAAGATTTAAAAGATACAGAAGGATAGTTGTAAAGACAGTCAGAAAATCATTAATTAATAAAACCGTCATTTTTAGTTTGAAAACTCGAAATAGATATATTGATGGATGATAATTTTTTGTTTTTTTTGTCCTATAATATCCAAAGAGAAAAAACTCACAAATCTTTAGAACGCAATGAAAGTCTTTTCCTACGTACCACTAGATTATAGCGGTCACTGTATTAATAAACTCGAACTGCAAAATTTAAAGATAATTTTACTTGTTTAATGTTTGAAAACCTCTAAACGACCTTTTCATGTCTTCAATTGGCTCCCCCCTTCATCCATCCCTCCCCTTTAATCTCCCCCCCCTTTTCCCACGGCTGGCAAATTATAGGTTATTCTCCGGTGTGTTATACAATGAAACAATGACATAAATATCATGTTCTACGTGTTAAAGAACATAAACATACATGATCAACTTTCATAAATATTGGAGAGATTCATTTTATTTATCGTAATCTTTGCGTGTCATGAGAAAATTATAGATCTTGGAATTTTCTAAAGAGGATTAGACTTTAGCATAAACAAAATAAACCTTGAATAAAAATAAATACATTTCAAATTCTAGATTTGCGAATTTTCAATAATAAAACTTGCGCGTATTTTTATTTGTCTAAATTTTCCATTCTTTGTTTGTTTATGTTCAGAAAATTTCTTAAAAATACTATTGTCTGATGCAAGATTGCGTATGGTTTAAGATGTTTAAATGTCAAGGCTAAGGGCTCAAGGGTTATTACCACTGTGATATTTTGCGTACTGTCACTAAACGCAATATTTCGCGCATTTTAAATGTTATCTATGCGTAAAATAGATATTCAATGACAATGCGTAAAAAATTTGTTTTTGGGCTGGAGGGCACTATCCCTTACTATGGCAACAACCAGTAACCATGGTAACAATGTACTTTTTAAATTTAAAATTTAGGTTATGATGAAGGGCCAAACCTCTTGTAGAGTAAATAAAGATGTTAGTTCCACATTTTATTGAAAATATATTTCAGTCTGGGTTGACCCTCGTCAGTTCTAACGATATAATAACCATCAAAATCGATGATTAAAAAGGTTATAAAACCACAAGAAAATAAACAAACAAAAAATAAACAAGTTTTAAAGTTAGAATTTGCCTAAAAGAGGCCTTATGCATTGTGCAATGTGAACTGTGCAAACAAAAATTTCATTCCTTTAAAATCAAATATAATTTTCGGCAAAGTGCAAATATTGACTTTGAATGGTTTCTAAAAAAACTGATTTATGAAAATTGTCCAGTTATTAAGCAATTCCTTCGTTGATCAATATGCTATTATTGTGTTATTTAAGTCATGTTTCAAGCGTTTGGGAGTTTAACAACAATTCATCTGTTGCGTAGGATTTAAGATTATTTTTCAATAAATACCTTAAAATGCACTTGCTTGACTAGTGCACAGTTATGGCGGCGTGATATTTGGAAAAGTGTTGCGGCATTTAACGGAAGATTGCGCTTGAAATATGATGCGTTCATGATGTTCATGCAAGTTCATTAGAGGCAACATAATGTATTTATCCAATAAATAAACATGATCCGTGGATTATAATTTAGACAGGTAACTATGCCACTCCCTTACTTTAACAGGGGGATTCAAGGCAAAACAGGTTTTTAAGGGATGATTCAGGATTCAAAACCATTTTTAAGGGATGCTGTGGCCTCCTTTAACAAATCGATACCATTCCCTTAGTTTTAAATCGTAAATCGTAAACTAAACTAAAACTTAAACTTTGTTAGCATAAAAGTTATTAAATAAGTAGGTTAAAAATCTTAAGTAGAAAAATTGTTTTTTTTTCTGACAAACTTCAACTTTGAGCAATTTCATTTCAATATCATAAAATTCATTCTACAAACCTTTTGTTAAAGTCATTTGCGTCAAAATTCTTGATAAAACTTTATTTTTCTAAATATCTTTCAATATTTTTGCCAAATTTCATTTATTTACGATGTACTTAAGATTACTCACAAAGGAAGATACTTTAATAAAAACCGAAATCTCTGTATGTAAGGTATGTAATAAATACTGTATTTAACCTTGAACAATTCTCTCCTAATGCATTTCAAGTCACACCAATATGTCTATAAGGTATCTATCTATGTACGTATATATTTAGCTATGAATTTCTCTATCTATTAATCTATCTATCTATGTTTCCATGTATAATCTATCCATGATGTATGTGTGTATCTTATTGTATCTATAATCTATCTACATATCTATCTATCTATCTATCTATTATACTGCTTGAAAAGGTTGGGTATATGTAAGACCTGTGGCTGTGTGGGCAGAAACCCTCCGGTAAAAACCTTCTAGAACAATCCTGGGTTTACCTGTGTTCTCTCTCTCTATCATTCATTTATTTGTAAAAATACTCTCATAATCATTTAAAACCAATGCATCTGTCAAAAGTTAGAACCTCTAAAAAGAGAAATGATAAACTTTTTAAAAATTTAAAAATGCGGGAGTTTGAATCACTGCGCGCGCGTGCGGATGTTCCCTAACGGCAGGTTGCCGGCAAACTGGAGAAGGGGCGCGCGGACTCTCGGGCGCTGCCATTACAAGTTCTAGCGTGCGTGCACATATAGACCTGTGGCTGTTTGTAACAAACATGTATATAGATATATATAAAGCGCGCTTCATAATTTCATATTCTTTTCTCTAAAAGAAAAGAAAAGAATTTCATCAAAATAAAATACTATAATCCAAAAAACAACATTTTGTTCTTTGTACTTTTTATCTTGGAGGAAAATGATGGAAACAGGTTTGACTTCAATAAGTATGATACGTCATATACATATATAGGGATACCTGCCCCCTTCAACTTGAAATGCCCGAAACAGTGGAGTACTTCTGTCTCAGCTAAGTCGATGGGTCACTTTTTGCCTTTATTTGTGCCCCCCCCCTTAAAACCTCCTATTTCGAAAAAAAGGATTGAGACAACTGTTACTTTTCTGAGAGATGAGGCCCTAGGCCCCCCTGTCAGAAAATTGTTACAACAGTATGAGTGTTTTTTCAAGGTTTTGAAAAAAAAACATTAAGTTTTTCAATTGATTCTGGAACTCAGATTTATTACAATTTTTAAGAATAGTAAACGTATAATAACTCAATTATTCAAGATAAAATTTTGCAATTTAAAGGAGGGGAGGGGGTAAATTTTGTCGTTGGACCCCCTTTTAGATGCACCAGTCCCCTGGCTAACTGTTGAGCTAAACAATTAAAAATCTTTTTGCTTTTGTTGTATTTATTGTAGAAACTTTTTTTTAGGGTTTCAATGTTTTGTTCAGGCATATTTAAATTGAATTTAAGTGAACACACAGGTCTAAAAGTTTCGTTTCTAAGTGGGGAAATCAGGTTCAGTAAAACCTCATCAAACTTTTATTTACGAAAACTCAAACAAAAAAGACGACATTTTCTGTCATCAAACATTATCATAAAAGAAGCTAAAAACTAAATTATGAAATTTTTCTGTATATACACTACCATACGAAACATCAAATAAAAATCTCGAGTTTAAATCACAAAGTCATAGAAGTTTTCGCCGCATCATTATGTTAAAGATATAATTTCTAACTTCCATAACATTTTACACATTTTACACATGTTCTTATTAAGATCAGGTTTAGGCTAAACTTACTATTAATAGTCATGAAGATTTCTCTTTCTCCAATTTATCAAATTAATGCTTAAATTATATTTTCAACTTTGATATAATGAAGAGGAGTAATTATATTATATTAGAAAATTGCCGAATTTAGCTCTGATCCCTTTTATTTTATTTCAAGTGAATGCATTTTATAGGTAATGTTACGTTACATCGTCTATAGGCAACATCCCCCCTACTAACTTTCCAACCTACTGCAATATCGGAGATAAGATACACCACCATTTTATATTCCCAGGGAAAGGGAAACATAGGTGGGGTAATACTGAAGGATGCTGGATGCCCCCCAGAATTTTTATCTGGGGATCAAGCATTGATCTATTTCCATTGTCTATTTCCTCTTTGACATCTCTTGGTGCTCAAACGGGAACTCTCATAAACAATAAAGAATAGAAAATAAAAATATAATGCTAAAATGTTTCGCCTCGTATATGAAAAAATTCTACATCTCTGTTTAAAATTTAATTTTACAAATATTATTCAGTAGACAAAGCACTATTAAAACTGAGTTTTTACTTTCTAATATCTCGACATTTATGTTAATTTTGATCACGGAGAATTTTTTTAACAAATAATTCAACTAATAAACACAATATAGTGTAAATTTTATAAAAAGCTCATATAATATTATAATCTAAATATCACAGGAATACGATTGATTTTCGTGTAGAGGATATGTTAAAAATAATTTCTTTGGAAACCATCTTAATTCGAGGATTTAAACAATGCCACAATAAAATCCCAAATCCGCAATTTGGCGGATTTTCTTAAAACCGGTTCACGGATTTGACAAGATGGCGGTCACATTATTTTACAAAATGGCGACTACTGAGACAATTCGATATCACTGGCGAGATCTAGTTCTATCTCAGAAAGCTCAGAATGGACAGGACTCGCTCTGATATCTTTATACCTAAAAAATATGCATAAAGAATAAATATATACAAATCATATATAATAAAAAATAATAAAAGACAATAATGAAAGAATTAAGTATTTACCATTTATCTGTAAGTTTAGTCACATGAGATTTCCCATCCTTTAGCTCCTGTTGTGTAAATCTAAAATGATTAAAAAAATATTAAAATTTAAAAAATAACAAGTTCATTAAAAAAATGTTGAAATTTAAAAAATAACAATTCAAGTTAAAAAATCAAGCGCTTCTCGGTTTTAATAAGTGGTGAGCTATATAGCCAAAATGTATAAAAATAATGTAAAACATTTTATCTAAAAATCCATCCTTTAGCTCCTGTTGTGTAAATCTAAAATGATAACAAAAAAATGTTAAAATAGAAAAAATAACAAATATGAACAATTCAAGTTAATGTGATGAGCTATATAGCCAAAATGTATAAAAATAATGTAAAACATTTTATCTAAAAAGGTAACAACCCCCAACCCCATATTTATAAATTGTAAATAAGACTAACTTTTAAAAAACAAATGTAGTGAGTATAACAATCATTTTTACCTTCTAATAAAGAATGGTCTAAAGATTTTATAATCCAGGTACATAAATCCTTTCAAATCAACCCAGCGCTCAGGATAGCTCTGATCAATCTAAACATAAATCCTTTCAAATCAACCCAGCGCTCAGGATAGCTCTGATCAATCTAAACATAAATCCTTTTAGATCAACCCAGCGCTCAGGATAGCTCTGATCAATCTAAACATAAATCCTTTTAGATCAACCCAGCGCTCAGGATAGCTCTGATCAATCTAAACATAAACTCTTTCAGATCAACCCAGCACTCAGGATAGGTCTGATCAATCTAAACATAAACTCTTTCAGATCAACCCAACTTTCAGGATAGCTCTGATCAATCTAAACATAAACTCTTTCAGATCAACCCCGCGCTCAGGATAGCTCTGATCAATCTAAACATAAATCCTTTCAGATCAACCTGCAGCGCTCAGGATAACTCTGATCAATCTAAACATAAATCCTTTCAGATCAACCTGCAGCGCTCAGGATAGCTCTTGCTCATATTAAACTTACGGCCTTTCAGATCCATACAAATGATATGTTTATTTCAAACAAATAAATTTTAATTTTTTCATCAACCCTTTCAGGTCCACCCTGTCATTTTTATTTCTGGTCCAAACAGTCAGTGAGTTTTATTTTGGTTCACCCTGTCAGATTTATCACCATATTAATAGTTTTGTTTCTGGTCCACCCTGTAAAAGTTTTCTTTTAGGTCCACCCTGTAAGAATTTTATTTACCTCTTCCTCAGTATATTCTGAGAGAGGTTCACTTTCTACAGCAGATCCTAACTCTCTAGTTTTGGAGAGGGTAACCTCCTTCCTTCTCTTCCTGCGCTGCGGTTTCTGACAAATAATAATAGGAATTTCTCAATAGCTTCATAATGCACAATTTTTTTTAGAATTAGAACCACAATTACAGGGTTACCCAATAAGGATGAGACTGTAAAGACGACGTAAAACCTTTTATATATGTTGACTTCAAGGTTAATTTAAGAATTCTGGCCTCAATACAGTTTTTATTCGCTTGTATGATGTGGCAAAGAAAAAAAGTTTACTATTGCAGGAAATCATGAATTTATGAAGGAAACAGACCGTATAAATTCAGTACAGTCGTCTCTGAAGTCTTATTCGTTATGGGTAACCCTGTAAGTTATTCGTCTCCAAGAAATCACTTTCGAAAAAATTATGAAGTTTTTTTGAGGACTTTAATAATTAACAACAAATGAACAGATGAACAGATGAACAGATGAACAAATGAACATTTGAACAGATGAACAAATGAACAAATGAACAGATGAACAGATGAACAGATGAACAGATGAACAGATGAACAGATGAACAGATGAACAGATGACTAGATGAATAGATGAATAGATGAAAAGATGAATAGATGAATAGATAAATAGATAAATAGATGAATTGATGAATAGATGAATAGATGAATAGATGAACAGATGAATAGATGAATAGATGAATATATGAATATATGAATATATGAATAGATGAATAGATGGATAGATGAATAGATGAATAGATGAATAGATAAATAGATAAATAGATGAATATATGAATAGATGAATAGATGAAAAGATGAAAAGATGAAAGGATGAATAGATGAGTAGATGAATAGGTGAATAAATGAATGAATGAATAAATAAATAAATGAATAGGTGAATATATGAATGAATGAATAAATGAATGAATGAATGATTACCTGCCCGACCCACCAAGACGTTTTTCTAAATACTTCATAAGTGGCATAGTTCCTCCTCCTAGCACTATAGTTGTAAACAGAACTACAACTAGGGTAGTTGTCACTAGTACCTAGAGCAATAAATAGATAGACTGATAGACAGACAGACAGATAGATAGATATTTGATAGAAATACAGTGATATATATCGTACTAAGGATTTACTCTGTTATTCGCTATTTTTTGTAAATAAGTCAAAACTTTTGAGTCGCACTGTATCTGTCATTTAAAGTAATCTTTGAATAATGTAAACTGAAAACAGGGATTAAAATAAAATTGAAAAGCAAAAAAAGATAATAGAAGGATAGAAAAAGGAAGGAAGAATGGAGGTTGGAAAACTGGAAGGGGGGAGAGATGGACGGGGTTTCATAATAAAGGGATTGCTCACTAACTTCATAATAAAGGGGTTGCTCACTAACTTCATAATAAAGGGATTTCTCACTAACTTCATAATAAAGGGATTGCTCACTAACTTCATAATAAAGGGATTCCTTACTAATTTCATAATAAGGGAATTGCTCACTAACTTCATAATAAAAGGATTGCTCACTTTTTAGAATAAGAACCACAACTACAGGGCTACCCACTAAGAATGAGATTGTAAAGACGACCTCCTAAAACTCTTGAAATATGACGACTCCAAAGTTAAATTAAGTGTTTTATTCGCACATTGAATGATATGGCAAAGAAAAAAAGTTTATAGTTGTAGGAAATCATGAATATAAAGAAGCAGACAATATACATTCTGTAAAGTCGTCTATGAAGTCTAATCCTTATTGGCTAACCCTGTAAGTCATACGTCTCCACACTACCGAAGAAATTATAAAGTTTTTTCAAGAAAATTTTTAAAATTACTTTCTGCTTATTTTTAATTAAAGATCAAATCAAATTAGACTTCCAAGGCTATCATACTTTCATTCCAATATCAAGATGATTCTTAATAATTAATAATAAACGGATAGAGGAAAAAATAAATAAATTAATAATGAATAAATGAACAAACGAACAAACGAACAAACAAATAAACGATTTAACGAATAAATGAATAAATGAATAAATGAATAAATGAATAAATGAATAAATGAATAAATGAATAAATGAATAAATGAATAAATGAATAAATGAATAAATGATTACCTGCCCGACCCACCAAGACGTTTTTCTAAATACTTCATAAGTGGCATAGTTCCTCCTCCTAGCACTATAGTTGTAAACAGGACTACAACTAGGGTAGTTGTCACTAGTACCTAGAGCAATAGATAGATAGACTGATAGACAGATAGACAGATAGACAAATAGATAGATAGATATTTAGATAGAAATACAGTGATATATACTATATAGCGTACTAAGGATTTTAAGGCGAAATTTTTATTTTAACTGTTGCTTTCTATTCACTATTTTTCGGGAATAAGTCGAAACTTTTGAGTCGCACTGTATCTGTTATTTAAAGTAATCTTTGAATAATGTGTGAACTGAAAACAGGGATTAAAAAAAATTAAAAAGCAAAAAAAATAATAGAAGGATTCAAAGGAAGAATGGAAGTTGGAAAACTGGAAGGGGGGAGAGATGGACGGGGAGAGAAAGGAAGGTGCAAGAGACATGAGAGAGAGAGAAGAGAAGTTGTTACCTTTCTAGTTTCCTCTTTAAACTCAAGATGAAGAGAAAGTGCGTAGGCGATAGCACCCCTTAATCCACTGAACCACATAATCACCATCATACTAAACAGAAAGATCAAGATCAAGATCAAGATCAAGATCAAGATCAAGATCAAGATCAAGTGTGTGAACAAAAGGACATGTACATAAGCATATAAATGAACATGAGCATGAAAAACTTTGATTATAAAAAATTGAAATTAAAAAAATTACCGTTTAGTGATCTGATGTGATCTAAACTTATTACAGAGCATTGCCAAGGGGAATATATTCAAAGCTCGACCTGAGTAATAATAAACTTACAGAATAATTAATAGCAGAGCGTCAGAAATTATTTGTATGCAAGGATGTAATGCAAGGAAAGTTATTTCAGAAATCAGAAGTGTACACATCTTTTGTCCTGCAGTGTACTCTCTCTGGGCGGTAATGTAAACACAAGACAGATGTCAAAGCCTAACATGGGATCCATCTTTCACATAAAATAATCAATAAAATATCCTGTTCATAGGAAACTATTATGTGAATTATCATAATTATCAAAATTTAATGCTTTTAACCTCCAGGGATACTAAACGAACACTGATGTATCTATTCTTGTTTAGTTTACAAATTCCGCCCAAAGAGAACTGATTTCAATATGTACGCAGAGTATACACGACCGCAATTAACTTTCCTTGCATTACACCCTTGTATGTATGTATGTATGTATGTATGTATGTATGTATGTATGTATGTATGTATGTATGTATGTATGTATGTATGTATGTATGTATGTATGTATGTACGGCAAAACCGTAACACTTGAGAGCTGAAAAATATGCCAAAAATGTTATAATTAGCTCCCTTGAGGGATATAGAATATATGACGAATCCCTTTCGTCGCAAGCGGTCGTTTTCTGCTTAGTTTGGACGATTTTCCAGATTCCCCAAAAAGTAAAAGGGTTAGGTGACGTCTCCCTTGAATTTTCCAAATTAAAAAGGTAAGATGGCCAAGGGAAGACAGCTACAATCGCATTATGGACAGCCACGCAAATTAAAGTCTGATAAACATGGGCAACTCCCGGTACTTCTACTCACTGCGATTCAATGGTCTCAAGCTCTCAAGCTTAAATTGTAATAATTTTGCCAATTACTTCTGAAGAACCAAAGCTAACAACAAGTGCTTTACAGTGTTAAAATGAACATGTAAAGGGCTACAGAAAAGCATAAGTGAGTTAGAGCGGTAAAATCTAAGCCCAAGGCGTTGCGACACTTCAAAGTCAACCCTGTCTTAAGAATCGATGAGAGTGTTTATAAGAAGACTGAATCTATGTGAGTGATGAATAAATGATTGTTACCTACTAATATAAGAACTAGAGCCCAAATAATCAGTGAAACTTCAGCTTGATGAGGGAATGAGAAGATACCTGAAACAAATGATAACAATGCTTATAAACAAAATTAATAGATATCAACAAAATTAATAGATATCCACAAAATTAATAGATATCCACAAAATTAATAGATATCCACAAAATTTGACCTAAATATCCATTATCCATGATCATTATAATTATAAAAATTAAAGGCATGGAATGAAGACGCAAATAAATTAAATGAAGAAAATATATGAATGAAATGTATTTATGAATTATTTAACTACCTAAGCCAAGATATGCAAAAACACAGCTTTCACAAACAAACGCTAGAGTTCTCATAGTCTGCTGCATAGTTATCTAAACGAACACTTTTTAGTTACAAATTCTACCGCTAGGTGTAATTAAAAGTTCCCACAAATGCAAAAATCCGCAGTTAATAATAAACTTACAGAATAATTAATAGCAGAGCGTCAGAAATTATATGTATGTATGTTTGCTACCTAAAGCCGGCAAAACCGTAACACTTAGAGAGCTGTAGAAAATGCCAAACATGTCATAATTAGCTCCTTTGAGTGATATAGAATAAATGACGAATCCTTTTCGGCGCAAGCGGTCGTTTTCTGGTTAGTTTGGACGATTTTCCTCGAGTTTCCCCGAAATGTAAAAGGGATAGGTGACGTCTCACTTGATTTATCAACTTAAAAATATTAAGATGGCCAAGGGAAGACAGCTACAATCGCATTATGGACAGCCACGCAAATTAAAGTCTGATGAACATGGGCAACGCCCGGTACTTCTACTAGTGATGAATAAATTATTGTTACCTAGTAATATGAGAACTAGAGCCCAAATAATCAGTGAAACTTCAGCTTGATGAGGGAATGAGAAGATACCTGAAAAAAATGTAAAAAATGGTTATAAACAAAATTAATAGGTATTCACAAATTTGACCTAAATATCCATTATCCATGATCATTATAATTATAAAAATTAAAGGCATGGAATGAAGACGCAAAGAAATTAAATAAAGAAAATGATAATAAAAAATACAAAATGAATGGATGAAAGGATGAATGATTAAATGGGATAAAAGGATAATTGAATGAATAAATAAATAAACAAATATATGAATGAAATGTATTTATGAATTATTTAACTACCTAAGCCAAGATATGCAAAAACACAGCTTTCACAAACAAACGCTAGAGTTCTCATAGTCTGCTGCATAGTTATCTAAACGAACACTTTTTAGTTACAAATTCTACCGCTAGGTGTAGTTAAAAGTTCCCACAAATGCAAAAATCCGCAGTTTTAATGTTAATATTTTAGGACGATAAATTGATAACTATTTAAACGGAATTAAAAAAATTTAAATTCTGATTGGGAATCACGGGCGTTAACAAAGGGGGGGGGGTCAGGGGTACCTTCCCCCCTGAGATTTTGAGGCAAAAAAAGTTCCCAATTTGATCAAATAATGCTCTTAAAAGAACTATAAGAGAAAAATGAAAGGGGGTTTAGGCTGAAAGCTAATCACTTTAGCTCTTGATCACGGCCCATGAGAGTTCTATCAAATACGCAAACAATCTGAAAACTATGATATTCCAGAGGAAGCTAATTGTAACTTAGTGTTCTCCAATTATCATTTTGTAATTTTCATTTTCATTTTTAATAGATATAATATTATCCATCATATCTGTTAAAAATAAAAAAAAAAATATGCAGTTTTTTGGTCTAACTCAGTCAATTTTTGAAATTTTTAACATTTTTTAACGGATTTACTGTTTTTAGACAATTACGTAGAAAATGATATATGACATGATAAATTCAAGAAATATTTTTTTGAGCTATTTGTGGAAAGTCGGATTTAAAAATGGGGCACGCTATTAAGGGTACCGTAGTGAAAAGGGCATGATATGCCTCTCTTTAAAATGATCTCTTTAAATAAAAATATTGAGTTATCATATGTAAAAATATGAAAAAATAAATGGCTAGACCTGAGTAACAGGAGATAAATTATAATGTGTATAATGACTCATTACAACTCCACAGAACAAAATCGCCATAATTCCAGACAGATGAACTCCCTAACTTCATA